TGATATATCTTCCACGTTTATTCCACTTTATTTACAAATGATTGCAGCGACTTGGATGATGTCATACAAGTTAACGTGCGCAACGGGATACACTCCAGTTTCGATAGAGGGAAGCCCATTAGTGTTTAGGTGAGCTTTGCCATTCCTTTTGACATCTGTCATTAGAGTTTACTGGCTACTGCAAGGAATCGATATACAGGGTGCACCAAAATTACGGAGACAGCACTTCCGCACACTATTTGAACCACTATTCAAAGATGCTGTTTACTGCTACGCTCATTTTGGTTTTGTTGTGTTGACCTGTTCATAATTATCTTATTTGACCACCAATATGTATGATTGTTACGATGGCTGAGTGATTCTGCCGCCATTTCTAGATCACTGAACTTCAACTTTGAGAGTTTCCAGCACGCGAGAATAATGGATGGATTCATTAAACGTTTCAAGGAATAAGGAACCGAATGCACTCATTCTGGATGGGAGGCCGTGTTTCCGAGGCGCAACAGAATTTGCTGGCACTTGCGAGAGATGGACATTAAGGAGATTACTTGAGAATTCCCAAGCAAATTGCCATCTTAAGATTTAAAAACATTGTTTGATCTTTCATAAGGAAGGGATTTCCATAGGGCAAGGGTGGTGCTGAACTGGGTCAGAGCCAATTTTGTCGAATTCATCACTTTCAACGAGTTGGTCAGCATTTCAGATTCTATATAAATGGGCTTACACTGTAGAATTGATTCTGCAAGCTGAAACTTGCATGGAACTTTACATTTTTGGGGATTATTTTGAAGAATTGCTTCAGAATACGTAGAACGGATTCTACGCACCACCTTGCGTGCCACCGTCGATGGTTCTCACTGCTTCTCAAGGCCCGTATAAGTGCCAACGAAGGAATTTCTGAGATTTGGCAGATGTTTACGATTCATTATTGAACAGTGAACGTTACTGCATTTTTGGCTTCCTGGAATTGTGGCGTGTTCATTCTAGGCGACTCGAAATCGCTGTCTCCGTAATTTTGGCGCACCCTGTAGGTTATAGGTGAACGGCAGCAGGTGCAGGTGTACTGCGTTACAATGATAATATCATAGCATATTCACAGAATTTACAACTCTATGAAATGGAAAGTTTTGCACCAAGTTTCCGAATAAAAAGAACTCGATAAGGCAGGATTTCAGCCTCATCTTCTTTTATACAAGCCATTTACCGAAGTTTCCACTTCCAGAAGTGGACGTGAACCTCTAAAAGGCTGAAGGAATATCGATTCTTCCACTTGGCCAAATCAGAGCTAAAGCCAAATAAAAAAATTTCGCTCAGCTCTGTCGCGATTTGCTATGTGGGGCAGAAAACGACAATTCAAATCCTCTACTGATTTCAATTTTTAGCAAGACGTTATGTGGATCCTTACATCACTCAGACGTCTGCAATCGTGATGAATACTGCAGCTACAACAACAGATCCGCCTTCGCATTCTGTTGCCGGCGATCTGAGAAGAGCTGTGAGTCTCAGCTTAGGATTACTGGACAATTTGCTAATAAAAATTATTATTACTGACAAAAGAGTATTCCGAAGTATATCACATAAATCTTGAAAACTTTCCAGCTGTGCAAACATTTGTCATTTATGGCAACCAATTCAACAAGGTTCGACGCCAGCGTCACAAAAAGCAAGCGATATTCGTTCTACAATAACATTCATTTCGTGAACGATTCGGTGATGTTGCAAAATCTAGTTAGGAGTTTCGCGAACTTATGTATTTATTGCGTGTGTAATATCTATGAACGATATGTTGATCGAGGTGAATCAACGAATAATAGTTTTGTTGTGAAATCACAGCGCGAAGTGCACAATCGCGAAATAAATTTTAGATTCTCTTTTCATTAAATACTTAACACAATAACCGAGCATAGATTAGCGAAGAAAGCCAAAGAAAATAACGTAGAAACGGTGAAAAATCTAAATTTACATGCATTTTGAATCTATATACAATTAGGTTGTCCGAGTGGCGCCATATTTTTATTCGACTAGATTTTCCTCTGAGTTACCCGATTTCAATTGAGGTGCAAACACGAGCAACACAAAATCGAAGAGAATTCTTCTTTCTTTAGATCTTTTGTAGTTTTAAATCCTTGTAAATCGACCAATATGCGGCCTGCAAAAATAGACCACAAATGTGCACAGACAAGGAAAGACAAACTGGCAGTAATTTCAACCTTGTGTTCCCGAAAAAAAACATAGGTGTTTCCCATTGAGTTCACGCCATCCACCTCTCACTTAATCATTCACAATTGAACTGTCCAACAAACGCGGTCTTTCTTCCGCAATTTGGTTATTCGAGAGCACTCGTGTGCCGGCTATCGTACAAAGAGAGGATAGTAAGAAAACTCCACTGTGATTTAACCCTTTCCGGACCGCCTGACACACATGGTGTGTCAGGAACTTCAAGAGCTGATTTTTCCAAGAGTTTGGTTTTTCGATAAAATATTTTATGTTGTTACATACCTATGTAACAGACTCATGCCATATGTATGAAAAACCTAGACTTTAGGTTTAATAACATATCAAACAGCATACTACATCAAAAGTAATCCAAAGCGTAAATGACTTCTCACTGTGGATCCAAAGAAAACAGTTTGTATCAATCCTAGACACAAACACTTTAAACAACGAAGAATTGGGAAATATCGTGCTTGTCGACGAATTCTGGGATCCAATCCAATCGTTTTGGGCACGTTCTACTCCACTTCCTTTTTCTCCATACCAACTTATTTTGAACAATTTTCGTCCCTTCCTCCCTTTTTATGGCCCTTTCCCTTTTTTTTGCAAAACAGTTTTCTGTCAAATTAATCTTATATATTCTTCGAGACATGACAAAGACATAAACGAGACAAAATAATGGCTTTAGTGGGAATACAGATTAAATATATGATATTTATGCTTGCCGCGCAGCATGCGGCCGTGAGCGCAAAAAGTGCGCGGTCCGGAAAGGGTTAAAATCAGTTATAGATAATCGTCGGATGGGGTTTATCAATAATTGAATTTTTGGCAATTTTTGTCAGAAATTTCATCGAAGTAATGCTATTCTCATTGTTTGGGCACCTTTTTACGAGTCGTAAAATTTTACTAATACGAAGAAAGAATGCTATGAAGGAAGAAAAAGCATGGGTTTGATTCCAGCGGAAAAAGCGCCCCACATGATGTATGCAATGATGTGAAAACATGCAATTTACAGTAAAATCATGGTTTAAAAAAAGCTACCACCATTTAGCGGTTGTACGGAAAAGTGGAATTTAGAAAACTGCGCTGCGGCTCCTTAATGGGTTCAATAGTTAGATTTTAGTAGAGCTAGTGACTATGTGCGTGGTACATCACTTATTGATATCTTACAACGGAGCATGGGCTTTGAATAAGTTGCCGGTTTGGTTTCTTCTTGTTTACTGGAATTTCCACTTTGCAAACTTGTAATAGGTGTCACTTAAATAGCTGAAAGCTAAAAATTCCCTTCGAACGGTATTTAACATTAATTGGAAACCCAGGACCTTAGAGAAATTCCCAATCAAAGACACGCTACTTATCGGACAACCTAATATGTTGATCAGAAAGATAGCAATGAAAATATCATTAAACTTTAGTTGGCAGTATAAAATGGAAAAAATATTACAAATACCGGAAAACGCAACATTACAAAATCATAAATTGATGAAGAAAACCAGTGATGGCCAGACGCTCACAAAAAGAGCCTCCGCTATATGCGCTAAATGGTTTACGGCCGAAATGTCTGAACACGTGCACTAGTTGAACAACCACACCATTTGTAAAATGCCATCAGATAGAATCAGAGAGCAGAAATCGAAAATGTCGAATTGTTCGTTCGCAAACGAGACGAGAAACTTTTGCCCTCATGTGCATATGTGGCAGAGATGAGTTAAGTTTTTGAAACCGCGGACTCTTAATCTGCAATAAAAAGCGTTAGGTCTACAAAACTGTGAACCATGCTTTCGCACATTCTCTTACTGCCTCGATCTATTGCGCGAGTTCCTTGCCTACAAGAAATACAAAATATCCTACAATTGCTTTTACAACCAATGATAAATCATAACCATCCTACTATATATAATTCGCTAAGTATGTCTGTGCGTGTGTATGTGTGTGTACGTGTGTTTGTCACGAAATTCATAGCTCGAGTCACAGAAACGATAGCGCAGTGGTTCTTACA